GGCTCTGAGAAAATGCTTATCGAAAAAAGAATGATTATCTTACAAAAGCTTTTTTAAGGGAGACTTATTGTAAGAATAAGGAAGTGAAGCGGCGGTGATTCTAGTGATTATTCAAAAGCGATGTATTCTTTCTAAAGCAGAGAACAGGCGGGAACTTCGAATGCCACCACTTAACATTCTAGTAATCGTTTGTGAAGGGAAATAGGGTCACTGATGAGATCACTCACAAATTGTTTCTGTAATGACTGTTGCTATCTACTGACATCTCTCCCCTCCCCCCTCCACCCCTTCCCTATCGACATTTTTGAAATGGGTTTCTGTGTCATCATTTAGCGAATAGCACTATAGCTATTACATAAATTCTAAATAGGACATCTGTAACAAATTGAGCAGTAATAAGCAGTAATAAATACCTCAATAGTCAAATATCCACGTTGTTAACGGTTTTCATTTTGACCCTTTTTTGTGACACCCCTCTGGTACATCCCCACGACCCTTTTTTTAACTTTGTCACACACACAGTAAAAACTCTGATTCTGAGCTGTTTTCTACTTTCATTACTTATTGTGAAGTTATTTTACTTTTTAGCGAAGGCATTGAAGAATGGATGATGATCGAAATGCAGGGCACTATTGAAAATGGTGGAAAACCGCTCTCTGATGAAGTCTTAGTTAAGTTTCACTTCCTTTGACTAACCCTTTCTAAGATACTGCATTGTCTTCAATTATTCCCCTTTTAAAGTAACCGTTTTCAATCCAGCGTTTTGTTGACATGGCCAATAATCTTCAGTTTTCATCAAAAACTTAAGTATCTCTTGATTGCAAAGTGCAGAGTACCAAAGCAGCTGTTGTATTTTGTCATAACTAGTTTTTCTCCTATAAATAAAGCATCAAACTAGTTCTTGTCTGCAAATCAAAAAAGATACCAATTTGGTAAACTTTTCTTAGGTAGAATTTCTGCTCTGTGGTACAGTATAGTTGCAGACCACACAGCTTAGGCGAAAGACGCGGACTGTAGTTGACCATAGGAATCATGTGTCCGTCTTGCAACCGTGCTCAACCACTTACATAATGATTAGTGCGCACTAGTATTTAACGGCTAGCCATCATTTTTTGGGCTCATCTTTCAGGATTTTCAGGTAGTCTTTGTTGGCGTCGTGAGGACAATGAGGCGTTACTCTTAGTTGGTCATCATCTACTAGAAGGAAAGGTTAGGATGGATACATTTTTGTGTCAAGTGACAGTTTCAATTATCACTTCTAAGGCCTGGTGTTACTTCAGATCTCGGAACTCGAAAAACCATTCCTTGTCGTCCGAACGACCCCTGGCCAGGATCCCC